TGTGTAGAATGTACAAATCTCTCTCAACTATAGCAGGAGAGATAGATCTAATTTAATAAAAAATTAAAAATACTAGTTATAATGTGAAAAAAAATTATAAATTTATAATTATAATATAACATTAAATAAATATAACGTAACATTAAATGAATAAATATATATAACATTATAAGTAAATTTTTAAATGAAAAACATTAATTAAATAATAATGCATTATATTGTCAGTTTACAATATTATATGATATTGTACTGATTAAAAAAAATTAAGTGGCATTGTAACTATAGTAATATTGTTTAAAAATCAAACTATCTCACTAATTAATTGACTTAGAATAGACCTTTTATACTTAATGGTTTAGGTTTGTCATGAGTATAATATAAATATGTAACTAAAACAGTAAATTATACTTCAATTTTAAATTATAATATCATCTTATATAGAAATTCTAAATATTTTGAAGTAATTTCCTTTTACTTTGTAATAAAAACATTTATTTTCTATAAAAAAAAAAATTAACGGACTTAAAATACTAATTCAAAATTTATGTATGACATTACTAATTAACAATTGCCATCATTTTTTTGGATGTATATACCACGAACTCTTTTGAATGGGGGAGTAAAAGGGTGGCCAACATTAAGCAAGGGAAGATAAAGAGGGATCATCCTTAGGACCTTGCAACCAACATTCCTAATCCCTTCAAGAGAATCACATGCTTAATAGTACCATCGTCACGTTACAAATGTTTTTCAGTGCAAGCAAGTCGGCCAATTTCAAAAGGTTTTAATTTTGGAGGAATGACCTTACGGACTCTCTTCTCTTTCTTCTTCGGGATTCAATCAAACATTCCCTCATCTTTAATAGCAGAAATATCCTCTAAGCTTACGTTGTTGCAACCTGTGACCCATTAGTACCCAATACTTCTACAATAGGTAAACATTGGATTCTCACCAACAATATCAATGCTAGTAAGCGCCATCAACCTTCAATAGCTTAAAGGGATAACGAAATTATTTGATTTAAATACAAACCTTTCTTTATTTGGAAGAATTAGAATTAGAAAGTGAGATTGACTTTAGAAAGACAAATTAAGGTTAAAGACCGAAGATAATTAATCTTTTTGTTGATTTGACTATTCTCGGATTTCCTATTCAAATAATCTTCTTCAGATAATTCTTGAAAATTGAGAAGATATATAGACAGCCAAGATAGCTAAACTAAAATGCTTAATACACCATACATTAAGCAAGGTTGTGCAGCAAAATACACACAGATCTTAATGAGTCTCAGCTTTCCAATTTATTTTCAACACAATTCACACACCAAGAAAAGAAGTTCTACCCCTCAAGGAACGCACACACATATATATCCAAATTGTTTGGAAAGCTATTGCATCACGGGGACTAGACTGAATGATTGGTTTAGAAACAAATAAGATTAAAAGATCTCTTTCAATACTGGAAAATGGGTTTAGAAACAAGGCAAGTTGAATTTAGCAATTGTTGGAAATTCCTTAATTTGTTGAATCTGGATGATAGAGCACAGACACCCATGTCTGAACTAACAGCCGATAAATTTTTTGACCAGCAAAAAGGGAAATTTATTGGAACCCCTGTACATTAATGCAGCATAACTCTATTCCAGTTACCAAGACAACTGAAAATCCATTCAGGCAATTGATCGAATAAGTGGTGTGCATGTGAAAAAGACATTCTATTCTTCCATATCCCATGGTTCCAAAACCCCAACAATCAGATTCTCTATTCATTCCACTAACAAGTACTCGTATTTCTAAGTCTTTAAAGAGATAAGTTACCAATAAACATAAAAGATGGCTATCAAAACACCAATTTGGCCACACCGTAGCAAAAGTGTTGCAGAGCGACAACATGCAAAGAATAAGCAATCACTAGTGCGATTGAGTTAGACAAATAGAAGAGAATAGAAGAAAGAACCTTGTCCGTCCAAATTGAGTAAAGGAGTCATGGTTAAGATGAAGTGCTGCAGCGTGATAGCAGATGATTTCCTCTTTGACTTCTTCTCTACCTCCACCGCCATTCCTACTTTCTCCTTTCCTGCTGTATACTTTAAATGTTAAAACTGAAAACCTTAATCCTTTCCATTGTGGATTCTCTGATCAGACAGCTATTAAATTTTACATAAGAAACATCGGTAGTTGATTTCAAAAAATAAAATGAGATCCTTACTAATGACTTCAAACATCAATTCATAATCAAATTTCACTGACATCTCTCAACATCTAGTCCAATTCCAGATCTGATACTTCTCAGGACAACTTGCAATAGCTATTGTCTATCAACCTTCAATGTCAACCCCAATACTTAAAATACACACATCAACCCTTTTTTGATTTCATTGAATGAAAGCACAAAGGGGTACTCAAACCTAACACCACAGTATAAACACTTCAGCAGGTCACTGCAAAGAAATAATTACAGAATCTAGAGCCACTTAGATACTCATCATGCTCCTCAAAGTGCTCAGCCAAATCAAGTTTAGAATCCATCAACAAATGTTTCTGTGTCATAGACACTGGTATTGCAGCCACGTTCATTCACCTCCAGTCACTTGAAAACCCTACCTAAACATATTTAAAATGCCAAAAATTTTATTTCCAACTTAGAATTCTAACAATTGGGAAAAGAAAAATACAACAAGACCTTACGGTACCTCTTTGATTGGTTGTGTTTGGTTGAACCGTGGAAATGACAAAGGCTTCCTTCTCTGAACTTTGGAAACCATCAACAGTTGAGATTTCAACATCCTTGTAAAATTGCACTCTCAGCTTCATCTACACTCAATGTCCCATCTTCTTCATTCTTTTTTATATACCATGTTATATCTGAAGCATATCAAATGTGAACCTTTTACAAATTTACAAAATAAACTTGTACAGAGCAAAATTTCCTAGAATAACTTAGGGGCCTCCCTAATCCAGAAGTAAATCAATCAACTTATTAGTGTTGTCTCTCTTGACATTTGAGATGTTTCT